GCCATCAAAGTGTCTAACTGGTTCACCATGTGGAAGCTAGAAATTGAGACTTGGCAGACAAAGGTCTCATTGCGTCGTAACCTCCATCCGAAACCTCGCTATAACTTCCCATCCCAGGCTAAGAGCTAAACCTAATGCTTCCTGGGATAATGGCCCTTGCCATGCTACCTTCCCCTTACCTCTATGAAGTTTCCCTAGGCTAAGCTAACTCTCAGTGCTGCTTCCGTGGCGCTTCGAGCTCAGGCAATAATTAAATCAGATAAAGAATATTGAATGTGAAGTATTCGCACATCCATTTGCATATCGGCGATGATGAGCACTCCATATTAAATCCAAGGCACGAACCATGAAGCTCAACCCGTTAAGTTTCAAAAGAATTAAATACTGACATGAACGTACAGATTCCTCTTCCCGCAGCACCAACCTTGCACAACATCATAGACGCTTAGTAGTATAACTTAGATCAAGAAAACCAGTTCACTTTGCATCTTCGCCTCGATCATTATCGGAATGCTCACTTCCTATCTTTGAAACCTAAGCCATACCTTCATCATACCTCGCCTAACGTGCGTCAACCGTTGGAATGTGACTCTCATTACGAGATCTGACACCAACGATTAGCCAAACCTCATTCGACAAGCCATTTTACGGTACCATGGACTACTCACTACCAGCCCAGCACATGTCGATACTTTCCTAAACGAGAAGGCGACTATGTTCGTCCTGCTCTCCACCCCAGCTGAATACTCAACGGGACAGGCGAAGTTTTACCCTCCAAACCCCTCTTTCATAGACCCTTTTCCTAGTTCGAACTGCCGTCAGTGATCTGTGTGATGGAAAAGTCGCGGGCGTCTCAACTATTTAGTTGACCGCTTCAGCCCGTTACGAATATCGAACATCGACAAGAAAACAACGTTCTACGTTTCCAAAACACGAATAGCCTAGAACAAGCAACGACTTCTAGCTCACACTTTTGGGACTCAATTTCCCTCTTCGTCTACTTGTCTTGTTGCTTTCTAAGTCTTTGCTCATACTAATGAAGCTCGGATCCTTGTTCCCGTGGGGAATGGCGGTTCTAGTCGCTGGAAGCCCTGTCGATACACCTGCTGAGCCCACTACTACGATGAATGAGGTTTCTTCGGTCACGGTACAGTCTATGGACTTGCTCGCTACTACGACTCCATCGACTACTATGTTTTTGGAATCTACCTTGATGCCCACGACGATGACTACAGGGTCCTGTGAGCCGGCTACGTTATGCGTGGACATGGTGACTATGTGCGGGACTAGCCCGGTGTATTATGGAGGGTATGTATTTTCCTTCCCTACTCTCGGTCAGACGCTTTCAGTCTTGATCTTATCACTGCTATCCTCGTTGCTTTCTGCGCGCTCTACCGTTTGTGCCTCTTTCTGTCTATTTCCATCCTAGTAATTATACGCCCTTCCTAACCTCCATACTACAGCTGCTACGACATCTGCTCGCCCTCCAACCGCCCAACCCCAAGTCCCTGCACCCTTCCTCCCGCCTCCATCTCCGGGGCTCTCCCAACCCGCAACTCCACCACCCTCAAGACCGTCCCCAGGAAAGCCAAAGCGGCATGCACCAAGTTCTGTCCCCCAGCAGACTGGTAATCCTCTCACTCCTTAGCCCCACGCGAGTGTATCGTTGTATGGAAACTGATGAAATGGTTCGAAAATTGAGGGATAGGTAGGACGCTGGAGATGATGGTCGTTATGGTACATGGGGATCTCTCCTTCTCTTGGTATTTTACGCCTTTTGTTCATTTTATCTCATTTTCTTTTCAGCTTTTCGTCCTGTGGGTTCGGCGAAGTGAGTCTAGATATTTCATTTCTGGTGAACAGCCTTGGTTTTGGAGGGTCGGTAGGACAATGAAAAATGTATAGACCTGATGTTTTCTGGGAGGAAATGGGTATTAGCTAGTCTTTCAGTTGGAATTCGTTGGGGTCTGCAGGACTACGGAGAGTGAAATGGGACTTGATACTCTTGTGATATGCCGCCACCTATTATGAAGTTGAGGCTTGTCTTTACAGATTCGCGGTCGTTTCACGCTCTTACTTGTATTACCAGCGTTGTGTTTTTATGCTTCGGCCGATTGCTACATGATGGGTTGTTCTCAGCGCCACTGTCTTGTTGAGTGTAGTCGGATGTGTGTGGGTAACGGGATGCGATGATCTGAAAGGAGATGTAGAAAGAGAGCTGGAGGTGTGTTTGTCTATCGTGTTGGTACGCGTGCCCTGTGGGGGACTTACCCAAAGACTCAACTTGCGTTTTCGCGTGAGAGGTAAAGGACGATCTTGATTTGCGCTGCTGGATTCAGTAATATTCAACTGCTGGACATTTTTATAAGTTCGGCTTCACAGGCCCTTACTAGGATATGGAATGGACGATGAAGGAAGCAGGAAGCAGGAAGCAGGAAGCATTCATGATATTTGACGCTCAGGGAACATTATGAGGCGGACCTGGAGTCCCGTTTTGTGTAGGTACGGAATCGAGTAACCTCTATCAAGGTAGATACGTGGCTGTTTGATTTTTCACGATGAGAGGGCACGCACTCGCGGTGAGACGTACTGAAGAGCATAGAAGGGCCTTCCTGCACCTTGTAATGGAGATTTTGACCTAAGATATGTGCGCAGCTGCTTTCTATGTCAATAAATGATTCTGAATGTACGTGCTGGCTGGATCTCACGCTGCCTGGCTTGACCCACGACATTTGGCGCTGGCGTTGTGCGTGGAATTCACCGGATATCAACACCAGCGCCTCTGCCCGAGAAGGAGAGTTATGGAAGCGCTACTGAACCACATACGATAGATGGTTTATGAGAATCTACTCTTCTCAATCGCTGCCTTGAATCGTGAACCCGTGGCATGAGGCATACGTCTAGGTGGTTACCGCGGCTTTTGCAGTGCTGAGCTCGTCTCCAGCAGCTACGGCTATGAAAAAAACTCGTGAAGTCGGCTTTCACTACTGAAAACAGCATGATCACTACAGTAAGTGGGTATGGAGTCAGTGACATACTCAAGTGTCTCTTGAACAGCAGCAAGTATTCTTACCGACATTCCCCACCTAAAAGAGGAGGAACGGCATGCAATACACTCAATACCGTGTTCATTCTGCTTAATGAAAGCAAGCCTATACACTCCTGCAAAAAAACACTTCACGATGTGCACATGCCATGGGACGACACAGGCACTGTATCGACACTCTTCAATTCTATGCTATGTATGTATGTATGTATGTATGTATGTATGTATGTAAGTAGTTATGTACCTAATTTCAATACCATCCTAGTAAGACTATCTTCCTCAAGAACCCAGACAAGCCGGGAAGCTCAATGAAAAAAGAAGTTGGAAGCTGGCGAAAGCTCGATGTAGTGCAAAACGAGCATCACCGGTCATAAGACCTGTTTCCAAAGATTGGGGTTACCACACCTCAATGCACCAACCCACCATTGCTCTTGTCGGCTTACCTGGAGAAGAAAAGAGGAGGGTTTGGGGAAGAAAGATGCGATAGATATATCCTCGAGAATGCCAAGCGCCCCACATGCACGTGATTTAGCGCTTGTGGTTTTTTGGTGGGGGTACGTGCGTCGTCGAGGATGGTTAGTGGAAGTGGGTGGAAGCAGGTGGGCGTTCGAGGAATAGAGAAGTGGGTGACCAGTGGGAAACCATTCATTGGTTTAACTCTGTGTCTCCAAGTAGTTCACGTCTGGACGAGTCCGTGCAGTCATTGGGATCCTGAAGAGCCTGAATTATGATGCAAATAGATGTTGTAGTCTTCAGCAACACTTATGTCCGGTGTACCGATGTTTGTTATTTCTGAGGTTGCAAGGCAAATTTCATATACCAGTCTTTATACTCAGGGCTTGGTTGACTCTAGACCATTCTCTTAAGGATGTTGTTGTGGGGTTGGACCGATACAAGATGTTCTATATCCTTCATGGTGAAATGCCGCCACTCTACGCCTGCATGTTAGTCGATTACTCTTGAACCTTCCCCGGACCTAATTGGAATTCCTTCACTACAATACACGAATTTCAAAGTCTAATGAAGTATGGCGCTAGCACGTTCTTAATCGAATGATACGACCCTACATAAATGCACGCGAACCATGAAAATTCCAAGGACCTTAAGCAATAATTATTCTATTGTCATGTCTTTTAGGACATTGCTCTCAATATTGCCGTTAGGGTTACGGTTGCCAATGAATCATGCAATGTTTTAATCAATTTCCTCCATCATTCATGATCAAGGGAGAATCAATTAAAATCCTATACTAAAAGCGAGTGTATTGATGCTGGCTCAAATTCTTGATTACGTTCTCAAACATCTTCATTTTCCAATTACGTGATACAACTCTAGTGGTGTAGTGCTTCGCCCTTGACTAAACTCATAAAATTGACATTTAAAAGAAAATTAGACTTGTTACGGAGCAGAGCCCTATCGACTTAGACTCCAAGTAAAGACAGTCTATTTCTATTTTCAAAAACCTTCTATATCTACTATTCTTAATAACATGTTGCTAATAGCTGCAAAGAAGAAGTCCTTCGACTCGGATCCTAGCATAAGCTGGGAAGTCACCACTGTGTAGATAAGTTTAAGATTGCGATGTTATAATAACACAGCAATACTAAATAGGAAGACTCAAAGGCATGTACCTTGATGATCGTACCTCATCCTATCTTAGCTTTGTTTACCCTAAGTTGCCCTGGTAAGGCGGTCAATCCCCGAAAATTTCACAACAACAACACCGTAACAACCCTCATGACCGCCCCGTCCTATCCCCAAGACCAAAAAAAGCCAAAAAATACAACACTGAATAATGATAATTCGGTCCAAACCGCGCCTTAGTATAGCTTAAGTGTCTCAAGTATATGTCAGGAGTATGTCAAACTTAGTATCCGTCATCACGTCGTTACAAGTACAAAGGCCTGTTGGAACACATGTCCCGAGAACGGATGGCCAGACCGAACCCGGGACCAGATGGAAGACCGATTCGAACAGTCGTCTCTGAAGCTCCCTGAAGACAGGAAGCATCAGTGTGATACCATTACACCACTCCACCTTGAAGCTATTTGTGTTTTGATTGATGAGCATAAGAGAAAGATTGTAGTATATAGAGTGGGATAGAGAGGTTATTTTAGTCTAGTTCAATTGATATTCAAGTTCTATGATGCACGCCAATGAGGAATTGGGTCGTCGTGCCTGGGTGCTTTTGGGGGCGGTGGATGGAGTGACGATAGTGTTATGGTGGTTTACCCACTTAGTCAGCACGGTAGGAGGCGGGGCCATAATCATTGAAACAACCTCCTAGGATTCGCAGCCCAGCAGCGCAAATTGTATCTATGAGAGCAACAAAATCACTAAGTAACACTTAGTGAATCTGGATGAAATCACCTCTCTAGTTTACAACCAAGGTTTGACGTTGATGTTCTAGGCTCGAGTGAGTTTGGATGATGAAGTGCTACCCGAGGTCATTGCGATCCCAAAAGCCATACAGAATCCAGACAATCAACTCTTTTGCTTTCAAACAGGGGAGCATTCAGGTTCTTATTGGTTTAAATTTCGGATCTACTGTTTATGCATAGGTACATTGAGTAACGAACTCGCATTGACGGGTGCTAGCCAGCGCCATACTTATTATGCTTGTAAAGCTGCGGTGGTATACTCTTCCGCGCAATTGATAGTTAAGCAATTTGTTGAGGCTTTATCATGGGCAGTCAACAGTAATATCGCTTCCATATACATAATTGGCTCCTCAAAATTCTTCCTTGGGGTATATCCTGGTGGATGCGACGAAACCATTGACAATATCTCTACAATTACTTTCGCAAAGAATTCGGTCAAGCACATGCGAGGGTTTACCCCCAAAATTCCCATGACATCTTTTTGCGCAAATCTAGAGAATGTCAATTGGGATAAATAGACATCAACTACGGAACCGAGGGTTTCAGGTCTGCCTTGGAGCGGTCATCTGGCAGAGAGACGAACCATTTCTTGATGCGTAAGAAAGTAATGGAATGCCCAAAATTCCGAACATCAAGTCGTTTGACATGTGGAATTGCGGATATATTACAGTTGAGGTGGGTGTGGTGGAGCCATTCGCCATTCTCGACCACTGTGGTTGGCGTTTCGAAGCTGGACCAACGGTAGCGACGCCGACTAGATCATGATACCACAAACAGCCCTCTCCTGAGCAACATATGATCACAACAACGATGAGTCTTGGGGCAATAATTGGGTTCCATCTATTAATCCGCAACATGATACGAGTAGGTTCGGACTGCGCATTCCGTGCATTCCGTGTGAAAGCCACTATCTTGGGTGGCACCGGACACAACATACGTACTTCATCGGCCACTTCCCTCAATACACATCGCGACAGCTCAACACCGACTCTTGATACCCCAGCATACTCACGGCACCCTTGGGGGAGGTCTCTATGGCAAAAGACATGCGCTCTCCGCAAGGTTTCTTTGTTGCATGGTAAGAGATTTCGTCCTAGAAGGTTTTTTTATCAGCCGGTTGTTTGCTCTTAATCTCTTCACGTTGCAATTTTGATACATTCAGAATTCCTTTTCTGTCAATTTTACATTCTCTATCATTTTGTTCTCTTCCGCCCACAGAATGTCGCCCTTTTCTCCATTCACTTCCTTCTCGAGGTCGTTCAGCGATCCGAACAACAGGGGTTCTGGCCGATACTTTAGTCTGCCTACCGACCCTAAGAAAGTCCTTCGCTGTATTCATCGCACCGCTCCGAGTAAACTTCCTGACTTTAGTGCCTCTGTTCACGATGTTCGCTTCTTTTTGTTCACGATCTTGACCATGGAGTCCCTGAAGATTGCAAAGGTATGGCCACAATGGGTCCTCGAAACTTGTGCAGCCTGGGAAGGAGACGGCGCCCAACTGCGCGCGATGGAGGACTGGCAGCTTCATGACATATGCCCCCTCAATTCCGGATACTGGAAAGGACATAGCAAGAAGAAGATCGATATATCGCCCGCTCCTGCTTGCAGAGCCCAGATCGGAGTTGCCATTACTGTTGAAGTAATGCGGTTAAAGAGCCTTGAACAGAGCAAACAAAACGTCGCGCAGGCGTGGCACCACATGCAAGGAAGCCAAGCTAGTCTACAGCAGCCGCCGAGATCGGCTTGCAGTGAAGCCAGTTGGGACAATTCTTCAACTAGGTATTCTGCATACAACAATGCAGATCATCCTCGAAGGCGGAGGCCCACTTTGTCGGCTCCGCCGCATTATGTCGACGACTGTTCCCATCCACCTGTCGCCAATAGAAGAAGCATGGTCCTGAAGTCTCCACTGGAACCCACGATGGAGGAACAATACTACCAACATATGCCTAGTGACCGCTCTCCAACTGACGTTCCACAGCGCTTGTCTCAAATAAGCAGCTCGGGCCAAGGTAGCAACATCTCGACTCGCACCGTGTCAACAGCGCCAACCTCACCTCTAGATTCTATTGCATCTTCTAGCAGATCAGATTACAAAACTTATCGTGCTCTCTCCTCAGCGGGCTCTGTCACAGGCTACGAACAATCGAGAACGCCAAATCCTGAAGCTTTTCAGCAGTCTGTGGCAATGCATCCCCGCCCATACGATCCATTCTTTTCCATCCACGCTTGCTCCCCGGACAATCCCTACGATGCTGGATACATAGCATACGGTTCAATGCCTCTACTGCACACACTGCAGAGCCCATGTTACTCATTCCCATACAGCAGGCAGACACCGAATCCCCAAGTCGTTCACCACGCCCCAGCCCACCAACAACAAAATACGCCCTTCCACAAATCTCCAGAATGCCACGAGCTCCCAGCCAGCCCTCTGACTAGTCCCAATCTTCGGAAGGCAATGTCTCAAATGACGTTGGTCACAGATCAATCAATGCGCGGCAACTACGCAGCCTCCATGCATTCCGCTCGTGCAGACTACCCCGAGTCTCCAATAGCAAAGTCATACCCTAGACCGCCAGTCTGGTATAACGACTATACAGCTGCGTTTCACGTCAACAGCAAGGAGCGAAATCCCTTGAACTTGAGTATGTCAGACCTCTCACGAGCGCCATGCAATGCTCCCACGAACCCCCCAAATTCTACCGTTCCCAACCGAAGACAAAGCACCATCTCGAGACAACCCGCACCTACTCGCGCCCTTTCCACCATCATCCCAAATACCAAGCCCCAACCCTCTCAATCATTGCTATCTCGCCCTTCCACTCGACACATTCCCCCTCGCCCCTACCAACCCGACCTCACCCCTATAAACAAACCCTTGTCGGGCCCCAACCACAGCACGAAAACCAGCAACGTAGACAGATATGCCCTCGAACAAGGCCCCCATATAAATTTCAGACCCACACCCTCCACCACGCGGACCAAATTCGCCGGCGCCGAAGTCCAGCGCATGCACAACATGGTGCCGAGTCGGCTTGCGGGCGAGGGGGTCGAGGTGTTGGGGCCGCGCATGCGGTTTTTCGATCCGAATGGGATGCCGTATTCGACGCTTGTGGAGAGAATAAGAGAGAAGGAGGTGTTGGATGGGAGGGCGCAGAGAAGGTCAGGGACGGCGGGAGGGCCGGATAGTGGGTTTTTGAAGAATGACGGGAGGTATTTCAAGGGGATGTGAGGGGGGAGGGGTTGACTTGGCGATTTGGGGATTTGGAGGTTGTTGGGGATCTTGGGGTATTGATCACAGATGGTATACTTGCAGATCTGGTTGGTGTTGGTGTGATTGGAGGGCTGGAGACGCAGACGGGGTTTGTCAAGTCTTTACTCGTATTGTATTTTGTCAGTGTGTGTTTATTGTCAGTGTGTGTTTATTGTCCCTGTGGTGGGTTTTGGTCATTGATTTCAAGTCAACAAATGCAATTAGATAAAATTGAACGAGCGTCCCTTCATGACCGCTCACATCAACCCCTACCTATGTTCTTCTTACCTACTCTCACCTTCGATCCATCCTCCTCCTCCTCCATCCCCTCCCCCTCAACTCCCATCTCTCACCGCTCAACGCCATCAACGCCTCCCCCCTCCCCACCCCTCCACATAGCGTATCCCCTTGTCCCTCAAAACCCCAAAAATAACGTCTCGCCTGCCATCGCTTTGCATCGCTCCATGGCTCTCCCTTGGTTGACGAAACGATTCGCGTTGGGGATGAACCACGGAAGTAGCGCTGTGTTCGATGGAAAATGATTTTAATTGCCGGATCAGGAAATTCGGCTCTCCAGGCCGAGGTAGGATGATGAGGTGGCGTTGGACGTGGAAATTGGGGAGTTGTTGAGGGAGATGGAGGAAAATCAAGGAATTGAATCGTGATGCGGGTAGATATTGGCTGCTGGACGCTGACGAGGGATGTGATGGTGGTGGGGATGGAAGGTTTTGGGGTTGTTGGGTCGAGGCGGGCGAGGCTGGCTAGCAGCGGGAACGGGTCGGTGGTTGTTCAAGTTTGCCTCGAATATTAGTTTCGGCTACTTGATATCGTGTATTCAAGCGTTTGATATTACTTTTTTGTTTTACACAGTTCTGGTAGCGTTCACTCCACCTGCAGCTTTGGGGGCTCCGAACGTCGTCTAATGCCTCTTGCCTGGCAGCCAACGATGGGCCACCCGCAACTTGTCGACTGCACTCTGTGAGCCTAGACTGTCTTTAGTTGAGTACTTTCAGAGTTCTCGTGATTTGATGTCGTCAGTCGTGGTAGTCGATTTCAAAGTTGAAGACGGTTTTAGGGCTAAATGGACATGGTATGAGAGTTATGAAAGGTTTGAACAAGAAGTATTGATAGAATAAGACAAAACGCAATGCCAGTGCACCCAACAAACAATGCATCCATACTGCCTTCGAAATCAGATGATTTACGCCTCCATCAATATCATCTGCCCAAAAAGACAATACATTCTGCGTTCATGTAGCCGCGCCCATGACAAAGGTCGCAGCCTCATTCGCATTCCTTGAGTAAGTCAAGTGAGGCGCAAGAATTACAGACTGGCCAGCGCAAATCAAATCTCCGTTATGACAGATGACCTTGGTGTTAGCTGCAGCCACATTTCCCACT